CTGACTGTAGTAAATTCTCCATATATCTAAACGTGAAAAACCCTAATTTCATCTACATACCATCTGTCATCGTTTGTCCTAAATTTATGTCTCTCTAATTGCTCCCTTCAATCTCTTTTGTGTCTCTAATTGTTGTCTTCTGTCTCTCCATATATCATTTCTTATCTCAGTCGATTTGTGGAAGAACCCTTAGCCATCTCTTCTCTCGAACTCTCTGATAAGAACCCTAATCCATATCCCTCATATTCCATTTATGGCTCCCATATCCACATTTGCCTCCTTTGCTAGTATCTCCTGCAATCCTTACTTCCCTTCTCCTCTCTACCCCACCACCATTGCACCACCAGTGAATCATCGCCCCTATGAAAACCCTAGAGACCACCATCTCCAAAACCACTCAACCCTCTCTGAAAACCATATACACGACATTTACCATCGTTTCCTCTAACAACTCCTACCATCGTCTAAATTTATAAGCTGGAAGTATAATCACATAATGCACAAATTTTATCTGCATACCAAATCGGATTATCAAACATATACATATGTAATTTGATTTTTATTCCTTAAATATCTCAACTTAACCGCTTTAATTCATCTGTAATTTGAATTGATCAAAGTTGACCCTGTATTCTCTCGCCTTCATCGAATTGAATAAGTCATCAAGAGATATACATTTCATAGCCTCTCATCAGTCATCTCTCAAAGAACCCTATATGTGACGCCATTTCTTCTCTCGATGGCAACAATATACACGAATCTACTCTCTTCATCGCCTCTTACTACCAAGAAAAAACCGATTGAACGACGGTGATTGCGGCTAAAAATAGTTAAATCGGCTTCAAAACCATTATACAAAAAAGCCCTAAAACAAACATTCTTCCATCGTCTGATCGTCTCCCACTCGAAAGTAATTTTTCTGAAGACCTCTGAAGGATCCAATTTTCTTTTATCTAATTCAAGGTAACTTCATACTACTTGATGTTTGTCACTTCCATCCGTTTTTTTTTCCTGTCAAAAAATTCTGTTTTTTTACTATGTTTCAGGATCTTAGATGTCACTGTTCCAAGGTAACAAGACTTCCCCAATCTTTCTTTGTGGATTTTTATTGGTTGATTCATGTGTGTTAACTGATTTTGTGTTCTAAATTTTGTAGGAAGACTCAAAAATCTGAAAGGAAGGAGCTGAAATGTGAGTTTATTCGAGCTTCATATTTCCAGGTTTGTGTAATTGATGAAAGATATGGATTTATGTTTAATTTTTTTATAATGACTAGCATTTTGTGATTTAGTTATCCTGATTTATTAAAGTACTTGCTTTCTGGTGTCTTGTATGTGGCATAGAGAAACGGTTTGAATATGGATTCGAAAATTAACTACCCACATTCATTTTGCATCCAATCAATTTGTTTGGTTTTCTTTCTGAAAATGGATAAAATAAGGCAAAAGCATATATATATATATATATATATATATATATATATATATATATATATATATATATATATATATATATTTGTTTTATTTGTTTATTAGTAAGTGATGAAGTTTCTCAGATTTTCCAAGAATTTTTTTGCATTAATAGTATCTATTTAACTCTGAATGTGTATGTGATTGAACATCGTTTGTGTGAAATTTCTTGTAAGGATTTAAATATGTGTTTTTTGATGACTTTTTGTAGGAGAAAATCAAATCCTGGATCATTGCTTTGCCATTCTAGAACACACAAGGTATCTTTCACTAAGCACTTATATTTAACATAAACAAAGCTACTTGATTCAAGTAAATCTCGATTTTTTTTTCACAATCATTTTTAAAATAGCTAATTTTGGTTGAATCATGTTTTTAACTATTTCCGAAGTTTATAGCATAATGGTCTAGGAAGATGTGTAGCCCGTGAAAGATCCTGCTCAGACTTGTGGATAGACCTACTGAAAGTCACAATTCTTAAAAGAAAATATGTTTGTTTTTTCAGCCTTTTGTTTGCATATTAACTCACCTGCTGCCATGGGATTCACAATGTAGCTTGAGATTTAGATGTTTATGTTGGTTTTCGAGTTTGGTCTTGGTGTTACTTTTAACAGAATTTTTTTTGATTAATGACTTATGATATGATGAAACGTATCAAGTTTCAAGAGTTCGGTCGAATTAAAGTTTTTTATTTATTTTTTATTTATTTTTAATTTTTTTTAAGGTTAGTGTAATTTTTTCTTAGATATATGAATATGTAGTCTATAATTTCATTTTTTGGTTTGCAGGGGCAAAAGGTTTTAATATTCGGGATGAAAATATTTTATTTAAAGAATCTTTTTACTTGTGTTTTTTTACAGAAGGTAACATTGTTAATCAAGGATAGTGTATTTGGTAAAAGCTTGTGATTATTTAGAGTATTATATATGTCTTGTGTGTGATATGTGTGTCAGTGTTTTGAAGACATCTCCAAGGACATCGTGCTATGCTTCCACGGGGAATTTGGTGATGAAAAAGATGGAGTTATGGCTTATTACCAACGTACTTTTAACAAAGTAATATTTATTTGTAACAATTTGTATACACTTTCACATTGATCTTACATTGTCTAGAGTACGTGTGAATGTATGTGAGTGGAGGTAATTGTTCCACCAATTCTAATAAGCCTAACTTGTGCAGAAGTTAAATATGATGGAGCTGGTTTAGTTGCTTTAAGTGAATGCTTGAAGATTTTTTGAATAAGAAGACCCATATCAATTATTTTTTTCCCATTTCTTCTGAGTCCACCAACTGGGAATGTTTTTGGATCCGAGGTATCTTGAAACCCTTCTTGGTTCTTTGTGATATTTAGTTTGTGTAGAACTAGGTTGACAATTATATTTGCATCATTTATATTGTCTCTTTCAACTGTAGTGGCTATGGTCTTGGGTGTTGATGATGAGAATATACTTAGACTCTTCAAATATGATCCATTAGGCACTTTTTTTTTGGAGATAAAGTGTGTAAATATTTGATGGGTTTAAAAACACATAAATCCATGATATGAAGTTTTATTTTTTAATTAATCTTTTAGGTGATAGGTGTTGGGTTGAATGAGCAAAAATTGTTAATTGTTAAATTTGGGTTTTGATGGGATGCTCTCAAATTGATCTTTTGTCTAATTCATATTGTGTATTTATTAGTTAAATTTATAGTATAAATGAAAATTTAGTGTTAATCAAAATTGCTAATTGCCTTTTGTCTGATCCATATTGTCTATTTGTTAGTTATATTTACAGTATAAACGGAAATTTAGTTTGAATAAAAATTGCTAATTAAATTTTTTCTCTTTAAGCTTGCTCTATAATTTGTCCATTTTCACCGTACATAGTTTAGCCAAAGTGATGAGATAGGTTTTGAATTTTGGATAGAAGTTAGTATGTCTAAAGATGTTGAAGTTGTACTAAGGTTATTATTTGTAATTAATTATTTATTTAACATTTCTATTGAGAATATAAGGATGTTGATTAAAAATTATAATGATATAATCCTTCATAACGACCAAAAATTTAAAAAAATACATGATCATTTATATATTGCTTAAATATTTTGAAAGATAAATGTTTGAAGCCCAAAATCCTTATTAATTTCCTTTGTAATTGCATTTGGAATAATTACTTTATTTCATAAAATTCTTTAATTTTGTCATTGGATAATACAAAGTTATCCTACAATTTTTTTTATATGCCACGTTTAAAAGACTATGATAATGTACCACGCATGAAATATTATATCTGTGTGCTAATATGGTCGCTAAAAAAACATCCTAAATGTTTGTGATGCATGTTTAAATCAATTGAACATGCTCCCATACCTCACCCACAACTCACCATTATCACAAAGAAACCAAAACTAATTAAACAACTTAAAAACTCTATTGCCATCATTTGTGATTAAATTCCAACAATGGATGGGATTGTGGTATAACAAATATTTAAATATATTAATAGATGTCAATAATGACATGTAACAAAGTAGACGACAACAACGATAGAAATGAATTATTTTGTTTTGCGTAATTTTTGTCAAACTCTAAATGTAAAATCGAAAACCGAAAACTATTTCCCAAAATAACATATAATATGTTTTCTTTGTAATATTTTATGTTTTTAAAAGGAAAACTAATTGTGGAAAAGAAACTATTTGCCAAATTTGCTTAAAAAATCTATTCGTCACCGCAGCTTTGCACGGGTACACAACTAGTAACTTTAAAAAATATCTTTTAAAATAAATTTCAAGATAATGATTTTATAGGGTAACAAACTATGACTATCATGCACATTTAGTCTCTTGTTTGTGTACACATATATAGTGAAAAGACACAGGTCCAAAACACGACTCTAACTCAAAAATCCCTATTTAACTTTGATATTATACAATAGCTTCAAACAATATCTTAAAGGTTACATGTTGTTGGTGATTTTGCATCATCAATATGTATTTAAGTGTAATGGATTGACTTGTTGACTAAAAATCAATCTTGATGAATATTAAACAAGTAAGGAAGGTGCGGAATGCACACTTGTTTGAGTTTATTCAAGATTTAAAGTAGACTGTCATTTAGGGGCGAAGCCCCTAAACGAACGGGGGTCCGGGGGCAGCGCCCCTGGGAGCGGGGTCCAAGGGGCGGCAGCCCTTGGCGGGGTCTGAATTTTCTATAAATGAACCCGGTTTTTTGACTTCGTTTTAACCCTTTTTAATGATCCGGTTTTAGTGATAATTTGTGACTGTTATAAACCGTTTTGACAGTTGGAGTAGTTTTTGGACAAAAAAACTACCTTGACAGTTTTCACACAAATGATATACATAATCATTCTTTGATCATTATTTTCCTGGTACAAGAACAATCACGAAATCATAACTTCATATTCTCTATTCTAGAAACTCTTCTGAGTCTTATCCGATTAAAGGTTGGAAGTACCACCCAAATACTTTAATCTGAAAGTGTTTAACACGATTCTCAGGATTTCCAAGTCTTTCCATACCCCAATTTTATAACACATGCTCAATTAACCTTCAAGAAGAAACATTAAGGCTAAACAAATCTAGCACAAGACAAACCAATCCTTTAGCATGCACACCAAAACATAATTCATGATCTTTTGCAGCATCAATGCTACATTTCACACTAATATTAAAACTACATCGTTTAACATCAAATACTAGAAACTACATAAAACAATTGTCCAACCACATATAACCTCCTAATTTCACATACGCCTCCTTAACTCAAAGCTAAAAGAGCCTAAGCTTACTTGACTTTCTCTTTGTAAATAAATCATTTTCCTTAAAGAAATTACAAAAAAAACATTCTATCTTGCAAGAACGAACAACTATGAACAAAAAGTACCAAAAGCCTTATCTTTTTTCATTTACATTTTCACAATTTGTTAAAAACCGATCAATCTTGCAAAATGTAATGTTCTTTTTTGCGTTTCTACCATAAAGATCAATTTGCAACAAAAAAAAACAAGCACAATGATTGAAAACAGTCGAATAACTTTAAATGGTAATTAATTAACGATTTCTACCAGAGTAAAGATCCAAATGTCATTGATAGTATATGTAACAACAGTAGAACTTGAAGAACACTTGTGGTTCTTGATGAAGTGTTCTCACTCAACTCTCCTGCATTTCTAAATTCATCTTTACTTGAAGTTATTGAGACATTTACATCACTTGAACCTGATGAAAAGGATATCAAGAAGACACTAAGAAATGATTCGATAATATCTGAAAGTAAAAAAAACAACAAAAGGGAGAAACAAGATCATATGCTTACAATCATAATCAGTCCATCCAATTCGTTTCTTTGATAAATCATACACAAAGATCTTATCTTTAAGAACAAGATCTGCAACAAAAACATATTCAATGAGTCATAAACAGTAACCAATTAGTGGAGTCCTGAGGGTAAAATTGTCATTTACTATATTTTAACTAACCTCCAAGAATCGACACACCATTCTGAACTCTCTGAAAGCCAATGCACCATGGTGTACCTCCATCCTGTGAAACCACACATGAAAAAAGTCAAACTTTTTGTTACTCAATCTTTGACCCACTCATAAATTGAGTAATTACACGAATGGTCCCTATGGTTTGGGGTAATTTGCATCTTTGGTCCCTAACTTATTTTTTTAATGCGGAAAGTCCCTACTGTTTGTTTTTGTTACGCGCTTGGTCTCTGTCTTACTTAAAAAGACTATTAATTAAATAGGGAAAAATGGTGGGGTAGGTAAAGCAAGGTGAGGGAGTAGGGTTGGGGATGTGTTTATTTAAACAAATTAAAAAGTCAAGGGCAAAATAGTCTTTTTAGGTAAGTCAAGGCCCAAACACGTAACAAAAACAAACATTAGGGACCTTCCGAGTTGAAAAAATAAGTTAGGGACCAAACGTGCAAATTACCCTAAACCTTAGGGACCATTCGTGTAATTTACTCTATAAAAAATGTAAATTTTGAGACAATTAAAGAACACTCACAACAGGATCCCCATGTACAAGGTAGTTCTCAGGTTTAAGAATCATGGAAGCACCACCAGCAAAGTTTAAGGAAACTTCTGGAAAAATCCCATTTATGCTGTTTATATGTCAAAAAAAAGAAAAAGAAAAAAGATCAGTTAAATGTTTCTTGAAATGAAATGAAAAGATCAATAGGTGAAAAAGGATAAAACAGACATTTTGGAGGTACCTTGATGTAACTAAATAACATTGAGTGCCCTTTGAGATGACAGGTGTTGTTAATTGTGAAACAGCAGCAGTTATCTTCAATTCAAGATGAAAAAACAAACACAAACACTTAACACAAGAATCATTTTTTTTTTTTTTTTTGATTTGAAAAATTGTAAGAAAAAGTCAAAGCTTACAGAAATGACAAAAGGGTCAAATGCTTCTGAAACAAGGTAAGTCAAAGTTGTTCCAGTATCAACAATGGTTCCATGGTTATCTGATGTGGCAAAAGCAGTTGGGTCAATGGTCAACATTTGACCGTTGACTGAAATACTTTGTAGATCAAGATTGTAATGAGGCCTGAAAGATCAAAGATTATATAAGACTACAAGAAAAAGTCAAAGTTGCGGTTTCTTTCTGATTGTATAATCAAAAATAAAAGTTGCAAAATTTGATATTTCCTAAAATACCCTTCAATAATACGTACTGTGATGGGACAAGGGGACTATAAACCATGGTCGGGGCCAAAATCTCACCAAGAACAAGCTTTCCACCACCCAATCCATCTCCCTTTAAGCAATGTGAAAAGACTTTTGGAGTAATTCCTCTTGAAGATAATTGTGACATGATAGAAAGACCATTTTGCCCAAATCCAAAAATTCCATCGATTGCTTTATCTGGTTTAGTCAAGCTACCTGATTGATAGGTGCTACACCTATTGCCAAACACCATTTTAGCACATATAGAATCATTAGAAAACATACAAACTTCTCTCAAAAACATGGTTTGCATAGTTAAAACAAGATTATTTGATTATGGGGTTGTTTCTTTTTGAAAAGTTTTCTTACTTAATTGATGAATATTGTGAAATTTGGTTTTCGGAATTTAAGGGTAAAATGGTCATTTAGTCGCATTCAGACACACATCATTACCAATTCATCCATTTATCCATACGTTTTGTAATGAAAGAAAAACTTTTTTTTTTTTTCTTCTCCGCTTCTCTCACATGTTAAAATTGATGAATATTTTGAAATGTAAGGGTAAAATGGTCATTTAGACACAAATCATTACCGATTCAGTCATTTTAACCATAAATATTGTAATGAAAGATAACTTGTAAAGAAGTGAGAAGAAGCTTACCCGAATGTAATGGAAGCTGAAGAGTTAGCAACTATGGAGGGGCCCACAATTGTGTCAAAGAACAACAAATCGGTTACATAATGACCCGATGTTCCACTTCCATCTCCATATTGAAAGCTATATCCACATTCATTAGTTTTATCTGAACATGAAGCATCTGAAGTTTGAACTATAGAAGAGCAAATTGAGTCTGAACACGACACTGTAGAAGCCGTTGATGAGCTTCCAGCATCAAAGAAATTCAGCGGAACCTAAAAATATGAACAATAAACAAGAAAGGAAAGATTTTTATTGTGAAATTAGATATGGGATTTGTTTAATTTGAAAAGAATTTAAAGACGCATACACCGAATCCACTTGATTGAGGACAATCGCTACATGAATTGCACGTAACCCATAATATGTCGCTTCCTGTGTCGATTTGAACATTGAACTCTTGTGGTGGAGAACCCAATTTCACTTTAGTAAAATACAGCCTATAAATTAGATGATAAATTAGTAACAAAATGTCAAAATCCATGAATTTTTTGTTGTTTAAGAGTTATATCTGTCATAATCTAATACTATTTTAAGTTTCTTTAAAAGTATGATTAGGAAATTCAGAGTTATAAGACACCGAAGAACCTATGGAAACTCATTGTCATACCAGAAAAATATAAAAAAAGATAACCCTGTAAAAGAAATTCCAGACAAACAAGACCACCTTATACATAAAGAACATGGTCACCGACAATAATGAATATTTAAATCAGACCCTTGAGATTTTCTAAAAATAGATATGAAACGAAGAATTGAAACTTGGTGCGTGAAGAAATTATAGAATTGAAGTCATTTGGTAAAGATTAAGCTACACAAAAATTCAAAAGATGAAATTTTTTGTGGGTTTTTGATGAAACTATAATTACTAAATTACCCGCCGTAGTAAGGATCGGAGGTGCCGACGACGTTGAAGTCGACAATGCCGCCGGAGAAACGTTGCAAGATTCGGGCGTGTCTCACGCGGTCTCGTGTTCTGAGGACTTCAAGCTCAACCGTCTTGTTCGCCGGAAACGCCCTTTCCAAATTCAGAACCCTGGCCGGAAACCCACCGACACCGCCGTCCACCGCTAAGGCAGCTGCGGCCGCTACCAACAAAATGATCAGGAACTTCATGCCAGTCTTTGCCGGCGTTTCTTAATCAAGTAAAACCCAAGCAAATTACTTTTGTACGAATAAATTTGTCAAAACAATAAGAATGTCGATAGATTTATGTTGGTATGTACGCAAATGCTAGAATCAGGCAGAAAAATGTTAGCTTTATCGACTTATCGTAGAGGTTTTGGGAAAGAAGGAAAGTGGAAGCTTGGGATTATAAACGTTTAAATGTGTATATATACTTACAGGAAGTTGTATGTATTTGTTTGGATATATAGAGAGAGAAAGAGGGAGTAGAGAGAGAGAATTGATGATGGTGATGATCATCATTCACATTTTCCTTTAAGTAAAGTTGCACTCTCCATACCAAAAAAAGAGCGAGTGAATCTATTATTGAATATAGAGTAAATTACAGTTTTGGCCCTGTGGTATACATTTTTAGATGTGGTTCTAGTTTCAGAAATTATTCGACATCATCGATGATAATGATTCAGAAATTTATCAGTTTTAGTCTCTAAGACGGTTATTATTAGTCCCGTTTTGTTAAATGTTTTTATGTGTCCGTATTACCTCTTTCTTTTTGTCTTTTATAGAAGGGAAATTTAATAATTTAATCACTCTTTGGTGTGTTTAATATTATTATTATTTTTTTTTGCAAAATAATCATTGTTTCTGGAATGGACTATTTTGGAGTCAACTTCGGAGTAAGTAACTGGACCGGTCCATCAAAAAACCTCCGGAATATCCATTCCGGACCAAAACGGTTTATTTAGAAGTTCGATTTTGAAAATTATTTTCCGGATAATATTTTGATACATTCCGAATCTCAATTTACAAATGCATTCTGATTCATTTCGGTCACTACTGTACATTTCAGACTTAAGATATGTAACACAATTTTAGTAGTTTGATTTAAAGCTTTTTATTGTTAGTAAGTTAGTCGGGAATACGAAAAACATCTCCAGAATGAACAAAACTCGTTCCGGAGTAGCATTACATGTTGACATTACATTAGGAACAACATAAATTAGTTTAATTATGTGTATTAGGGTATTATATGTCATTAATTAGTATTCTAGACCCCAAAAAAACATTATGGAGTGCGATGAACTTGTCCGGAACACGAAGAGTACTCCGGAATGCAAAGAACATGTCCAGAATGTTCATCATTTTTTGTTCCTGAATACGGTTTTAACTTATTCTATATTTGCAGCACGACCAGATTTTTGATACATCAATTACACTGATTTGCAAACCCAAACTCGGTTTTGCTATTCTTGCAAAACTCAAAGACAGACCAGCTTGCAAGACCATGTTCCAGAATTTATGTTTTAGGAGGTGGTTAGATATCCCTACGGTAAATGGGGATCCTTTACTTCTATATTATATTTTTTTGTGACAAAGTTATCAAAGGCCCTTGAAGTGATATAGAGGGAAGTGTTTTTGAGATTAGGTATTATGAGTTGTCTTTCGGGAAGAAAGATGTAACATCCTATTTCCTAGTATGTACCTTTTATTTGGATTATTATTTTGGGCCTTAAAAGGACTGGACATTTAAATGGATTTGGGCCTGTTTTTGCCCAATGAGCACAGGGCACTCCTGTATGGTCATGGTGAGCTCAGGCACATGGGTTGATCATGTTTTTAGGGTTTAACTGGCATTGAAAGGCACTTAAGCCTCTAGGATTGGCTCATTCACCATCCTTTACCCTTAGATGAACCCTAAAGAAACATTAACCCTCTCTCCCTTATTTTGAGATTGTGATCTCCATTGAAGGCTTATTTCTCACTTTTTCATGTGAAGCTTGAAGATCAAGTTGTTTACAAGGTGCTTTGGTGAAGGGCTCATGTAACATATACCTGTGGGATGTTTCTAATTTTGGAATATCATACCGTAATTTGATCAAGTAACGGTCTTAGGCTTCAAGGGAATAAATTTTAGATCTTATTAGATGTTGATAAAATTGGTTAAGTTATTTAAGCCCTTAAATTGTGTTTTCGGGCCAACAAGGGTAATATTGGAAAAAGTAATATTTTAGGACTTTTGCATCTGTTTATGAATTAAGTTAAGTAAGTCACAAGTAGTCAGGTAAAATTATGGGGCTTGTTAATACCTTCGTGTGCATATAAAGATCACCAAAAACAGATTTGAAACAAGGAAGTTATGATCGTTTAAAGTTGGAAGGAATCAGCAAAAGCTCGTCATTACGGCATGGTGGGAAAGCTACCATGGTGTTGGATTAGGTGTCTAAGCTCATAACTATAATTGGTATGTACTTGACCCGAGAGTAGCATGGTCCATTTCAGGTTGCCTTCACCAGAACAATCTGTTAGAATGGATAATTGAGAAAGAGCTTATTTATGATTTATTAATATATTATAAGTATAATATATTAATTGTGAAATCATATTATTTACTTAGTATTGATCAAAAATTAATTTAGTGATCAAAAGAGACTAAAAAAATTAATGGGGAATGATTATGTAAATTAGTGATACATATGGTTTAGGCTATTGATCCATGATGGACTAAGTTTATATGAGAGTCCATGAAGAGTTAGTCCATATGAGTTATTGGATCATAAGCCTAAGTGTAAGAATTAGGGTTTGCATATGACTCTTGGAATTCTACACTATATATGTATTCCCTAAACCCTAAAATCGTGACTTGTGAATTCCATGAAGAGCCTTGCCGATTTTTAGGTTCATAACCTCTCTCTCATATTCATCTAATTGTTCATGGTGTTTATGACTTGTTTGAGGCATCACACTTGAGGTGCTAAGCTCTTGAAAGATCAAATGTCTACAAGCTACAACTAAGAGGTATTCTTCTAACTAGTGATTCATGTTTCAAATATCTATGTTGTATGCTAGTTATAGGTTTCATGCTTTGGATAATTTTTGTTGCATGTATAACTAGAGAAAACTTAGATCCAAATCATTTAGGGTTGTATATGCACCACAAGAGTGTTATAGTACTTAAAACCCAACAGTGGTATCAGAGCCTAGAGGTTGTTTTCTGTTATATTAATGGATTGGTTAATTTTTCAAAGCAAGAAAAATAATTTTTTTAGAATCTGCATGATCACCACGACGTGGTCAAAGTTACCACGATGTGGTGACTATTCAGTGGACGATTTTTTCCAGTTTGTTGGACTAGTTTTGGATTAGAATCATTACCACAAACTGTTTTAACTATTAAAAAAATTATTTTTTGTGATAAGGTAATGATTTCCATCATCCAAAATGAAAAAAAGACAATTATCAAATTTTAAGATAATATTTTGATTATATGATAATTTGATTATTTGTATTGTTTGATTACACTTGTCTTGCAATAAGAGTTAAATTAGGTTAAATTGGTAAATGATAAGTTATATGATAATTGTATTAGTTTGTATTTTGATCTAAGTGTTTCATGAAGAGATTCATAACTTGTCCTCAAGTTATGACATATGAAAAGTTTCATTCATGAAACTTTAAACTCTTTAAGTTATGGAATTACAAAGGTCTTGAAGAGTTTCATAATTTGTCCTCAAGTTATGGAACTTGGAAAGTCTCATTTATTAAACATTAACTCCATAAGTTATGAAATCCAAAAGTTTTGAAGAGTTTCAAAACTTTCCCTCAAGTTTTAGAATTTGAAAAGTTTAATTTGAAATATTGAATTCTAAAACATTTAGTAAAAGTTTCAAAAATGTGCAACTCTTGGGTTCATAACTTAAAAAATTAATTAAATAGTTTTTAATTTTGATATTTTATAACCTTGGTGTTTTGAATAGTTCAATTACACCTTATGGACTTTATCCAAGATGACAATGCCATAATGATGCTTTGTCCAAACCATTGGACGAATTGATATGCAATAAATTATTTCCTGAGTTATCTACAACCAACACAGTTTCATATATGTCATTACAAGGCAATGCTTCAAACTAAAGTACATCATTAAAATAAGCATTAAAACCACCAATTTCATTATTAAAAGAAAAGGTACAACCTTGTTCATACAAACTATGAAAGGAAATAATATTCCTCGACATATCTGACTAGTAGCAACAATTATTCAAATCTAATTTTAAGCTATTACTAAGAAATAAAGAATAAACTCCAGTCTTGGTGACATGCGACTTTTTCCTATTCCTCATGATCAAGTTCATCTTCCCGTGCTCCACATCCCTACTTTATTTTAGACCCTGCAAATCAGAACAAATGTGAAAACCACATCGTGTATCAAGGACCCAAGAATTAGCATGTGATGAGTTATTAGAAAAAATAGTGTAAATACCTGCAAAGGTGGGCTTAGTCTTCCCATCCTTTATATCCTACAAGTATTTAGGACATCTTCGCTTCTAATGCACCTTTTCATGACAATGGAAGCACTCTGATCCCTTTGGATTTGGAGAGGTATAGCAGAACCAACTTTGGTCCCACTAGAAGAAGATCCATCTCGGGAATTTCCCGTGGGACTCTTAGAAGAATCCTTCCTCTTCTTTCCCTTCCCATTTCCAATTGCCAAGATAGGGGCGCTTGCAGTAGGAGTATACACAACATATTTTCCTTTAAGACTACTTTCAGCAGTCCTCAAGAGGCCTTGAAGTTTGCTTAGAGTGACCTCCTCCTTCTTCATATAACAGGTCATACGAAACTGATCATAACAAGGAGGTAAAGAGTGTAGAATGATATCTATAGGCAACTCTTCATCGAAGTTGACATTCAAATTCAACAATTGGTCCTCAAACCTTTTTATCTTTTGCAAGTGGGCCGTGATGGACTCTCCATCCTTCATTTTGGTAGTGATCATGGAGACTATGATTTCATACCTTTCCTGCCGTGCACTTTAATGGTACCTTTCCATCAAATCCTGATGCATTTCATAAGGCCAGAAGTCCTCATAGGACTTCTGAAGCTCAACAGTCATAGTAGCAATCATAATACACGACACTTTAGTCGCGTCCCTCTCATGGGCCTTGTATTCAACAATTTGTTTGGGAGTAGCAGTAGATTCATCAATCTCCTTAAGCTATTTATTGATAACATATTCTTTGTCCTCGTAGCGAATGACCATTCAAATGTTTCGAATCCAATCATTGAAATTCGTTCCATCGAAGATGACCCTCCCACATAAGTTCATGAGGGAGAAAGAGTCGAAAAGGATTGGGTTTGAAGCATTGGTTGAAGTAGACATCTGAAAAGAAAGACAAAGTTTAGATTAGATAAGGATCCTTAATATAACACCCAAAATGAAATATTAAGGCTACGACCCAACACAATATTTTTCAATTCGGAGAGGGATGCCATAATCCAATTGTAAAATATTTGAAGGAAGGTAAATGAAGATTTATCAATTTCCATC